AGCTAACATTGAGAACAGGTGTTTTAGAGCGATGTGTGGGTCTGTCTTCCTTTTCTTATAAGAAGAGTCAAAGTAGGGTGACTAACTGTCCAGTTTGCTCAGGACTGAGGATGTGGACATGGGATTTTCAGTGCTGAAATTTGGAAAGCCCTGGGCAAACTGAGACATGTTGGTCGCCCTGGCAAAAGCCGGGCCCCACGGTCAGCAAGCCCGAATGGCTCCAGGTGCCAGGCCGGTAACTAAACGTGGGAAGCAGCTGGTGGCAAGGCGATGGAGGATGGTGCTTGAGAGCGCCCAGAGAGTGTGTGCTGCTGGAGCCTTCACATCTCAGTGCCGCACCGGCAAGCCACACCTGCTCGTTTTAGACCCAACAGATGAACTTCGCCTCTCCTCTAGAGCCACCAGGAGGATCTCCCACCTACAGTGGGGTCTCGGTGCACCAGTGGTTTTCAAGCCCCTGGTAGAGTCACCTGGGTAACTTAAAAAAAAAATCGTGAGGCTCAGCCCCAGCCCAGCCAGCCCAATTGAATCATAGTCTCTGGGGGTGGGACCCAAGCATCAGTATTTTTAAAAATCCCCCCCCTCCCCCCCAGGTCACTGTAATGCCTGGCTAGGGCTGAGGATGGCTGGGATAGATGCAGATCAAACAAAGGAGGGAAAATGGACTTTTCTTCCCTACATCATCAGTGTCTCTCTGACGCCCTTGATGTCTGACTCCTAAGGTTTGGGGAGCATTTCTGGTCTACCTGCTTTCTACAGTCACGAATAAAAATGAGTACCGAAGCAGACAAGATGTCCTTCAGCAGGTGAAGGAATAAGTCAACTATGCTTACATCCAGAGGGGAGAATATTATTCAGCGCTAAAAAGAAATGCACTCTCAAGCCATGAGAAGACACGGAGGAACCTTAAATGCACATTTACTAAGTGAAAGAAGCCAAGTCTGAAAAGGACTGTATGATTCCAACCATATGACCTTTTGGAAAAGGCAAAATTATGGAGACATCAAAAAGGTCAGTGGTGGGGGCGCCTGGGTGGCTCAGTCAGTTAAGCATCCAAGTCTTGATTTCAGCTCAGGTCATGATCTCATGGATTGTGTATGGCTGTATACTGACAGCACAGACCCTGCTTGGGAGGCTTGCTCTCCCGCTCTCTGCCCCTCCGCCACTCAGGCACACTCATTCTCTCTCTCAAAAAAAAAAATAAACATTGAAAAAAAAGATCAGTAGTTGCCAGATGTTATGGGAAAAGGAGGGATGAATAGACTAGACACAGAGGGGTTTTAGGGCACTGAAAATACTCTGTATGATACTCTAATGGTGGATACATGCCATTGTACATTGGTCCAATCCATAGAATGCACAGCCCAAGAATGAACCTGAGGTAAAAACCATGAACGTTGGGTAGTAACGATGCATTAATGTAGGCTCATCGATTACAATAAATGAACCACTCTGGTGGGGACTGCGGATATGGGGAAGGCTATGCATGTGTGGGGACAGGGGGCTTATGGGGAATCTCTAGGCCTTTTGATCAATTTTGTTGTGAACCTAAAACTGCTTCTATTTTTTTTTTTTTTTTTTATTTATCTCTAGGAGAGAGAGAGACAGCGTGAGCAGGGGAGGGTCAGAGAGAGAGGGAGACACAGACTCTGAAACAGGCCCCAGGCTCCGAGCCGGCAGTCAGCACAGAGCCCGACGCGGGGCTCGAACCCACGAACCGCGAGATCATGACCCAAGCGAAAGTCAGACGCCCAACCGACCAAGCCACCCAGGCGCCCCTAAAACTGCTTCTAAAAGAATAAACTCTCTCAAAAACAATTAATACGGAACGAGCACTTCCAACTCATCCATTCACCGAGCACGGCTAAGCCCCAGCACCTGGCTGCACTGCACACCGACAGGTTAGTGCTCGCCGCCGGCTCAGTGGCTTCTGTTGTGTGACACTGGGCAACACACTTTCCTGTCCCTCAGGTCTAGCATCAACAATGAGGGGTAGGTCTGAAGCCCCATGGCCACTCTGAGTAAGGCTAGGGGTCCGCGGGCCTGGCCTATGGGCCTCTTCGTGTACGAAGGGACTGTGCACAATGGAAGGAAGATGGGAGGCTTTCTGGCATCAGAACAGCTTGTTCAAAAGAGAGGAGGAAAAGGTCTCTGAGTCACTGGAGGAAATTACCATGCCCAATGGAGAGGGATCAGTGTGTGCATATGTACGTTCATGTGTATGGGTATGTGTGATTCTATACATGGAAGTGGAGGGTGTGTGTGTGAGGGTGTGTATGCCCGGAGAGTGTGCATGCTTATGTGCAAATATGCATGCATGTATCTGTGAACTTGCATGAGGACTTGGTGTCTATCTGAGGCTGTAAATATGTGACTCTATCACCATATGCACGTATGTGAATTGTGGATGTGTGCATGATGAATACATGTGTATTGTGTGAATATGTACGCACCCGCATATTTGTGTGAATGAGTGTGTATGAGGTTGTGTGTGTCACTCCCTGGCAGTTGTGGGCAAGTTATTCAACCATTCTGTGACTCTGTGTCCCTATGTGTAAAGTGAAGATAAGCACTTACCCTGGTGGGTTAAAGGTGGCTGCAAATTCTTTGCTAGTCCTGCCATCAGTAAGTGGAGTCACTTTCTCTCGAACCTGGGCTGGACTCGTGATTTGTTCTGACCAATAGAATCTGGGCCTTAGGAGATCTGCCATTCTTCTGCATTTGCGAACGTGACACTGCCTCTTGGAGCCCAGTGGCTGCGCTGTGAGCTGCTCGAACCAAAAAGTAAAGCCATGAGGAGGGAAAGCAGCACATGTGGGTGGTCAGTGCCAGCTGAGTTCACAGCGCACGGCAGCCCCAAGTGCCTGTTAGGAGAGCAAGCAGGGGACTGTGGTCCTAGCTGACATCAGGAGGACTAGAACTGCCAGCAGAGCTCAGTTAACCCAAAAAAAATCAGAGGAGATAATAATAGCAGTGGCTTAGAAACAGCCTAACCATCATTGGGTTTTAGGATGGTTAGCTCCGCAGCAGGCATGCCTTGTAAGGTGCCTTAAGCACCTAGAACTGGAGTGGGCAAACTTTTCCTGCAAAGGGTCAGGTAGCAAATATCTCAGGTTTTGCAGGTGATGCAGCCACTGTCACAACTACTCAACCCTGATGTGCAGTGCCAAAGCGGCCGCAGATCACGCGTTAATGAATAAGCATGGCTGTGTTCTAATAAAACTTTATGCAAGCAGGTGGCAGGCTGGATCTGGCCCCCTGGCAGTCAAATGTTTGCCCAGACCTAGAAAGCAGCCTGGGATATGGTAATAAGTGCTTTAAAGTGTCAGCTACGGGGCACCTGGGTGGCTCAGTCAGTTAAGCATCTGACTTCAGATCAGGTCATGATCTCATGGCTCGTGAGTTTGAGCCCTCCATCGGGCTCTCTGCTGCCCATGAGGAATCTGCTTCAGATCCTCTGCCCCCCTCTCCATCCCCTCCCCCTCTTGTGCTCTCTCACTTGCTCTCAGAAATTAAAAAATAACTATAAAGTATTAGCTATGAGCATATGGGTTAGAGTTTCTGTCTATGCACACACATGTATACGTGTGTATCTGCATGTGAAGCATATGTCAGAATGAGTGTAAATGTGTCTATATGCAGAATCAGCTTAGTCCTTCCCTCAGACAAAGCACTAGGTTTGTATCAACTAACATTTTGGGTTTTTTAAAAAATATTTTTGGTAATGTTTTATTTATTTTTGAGAGAGAGAGAGAGAATGAGCAGGGAGGGGCAGAGAGAGACACAGAATTAGAAGCAGGCTCCAGGCTCTGAGCTATCAGCACACAGCCCGACGCAGAGCTTGAACCCACAAACTTTGAGATCATGACCTGAGCCGAAGCTGGATGCTTAAACTACCAAGCCAGCCAGGTGCCCCTCAGCTAACGTTTCAACACAGCTACCTCAGGCCTTCCTACTTCTATTCTGGGGAGAAGGGGAAGCATGGTACAAAGCCAAGGGAAGAAAGAGCTGGTGTGTCCCTATCATTTTCATCTGGGTTAAGTTTGGAGGGAAGCCATCATCTGTCAGTGGCTGGGCTACTGTAGGGCCGCAGCCCACGCCTTCCTGTCTGCTGAAAGGAGAAGTCAGTCCTCTGGGGAGAGGGGGAGGGGATGCTGTAAAAATGAAAAAGGAACCCTGGAACTTTTAAGGAGGAGCTTGGGAAATGGAGAGAAGGCTATCCCCCCTCCTATGGTGGGTGGCTTTTCCAGGCAACTTGTAAACATCTGCTTGCTGGTTTCATTTTGATCTCCCACTGTGGGCCTCATGAGGGGTGACTTCCTGCATGACTAACCCCCTTGGCTCAGTTTGCACGGGCCAGAAATGAGTGTTAGCGCTGTAGCCAGATGTGGATTCAAATCCCTGTTTGTGCTTACTACATGGGGTATGGGGCCTCGTTTTGCTGAGCCTCAGTTTCCTCACCTGCAAAATGGGGATGATATTAGTACTACCTCCTAGGACTGTTGCAATGGTCAGGTGAGGGTGGTGGTGTGTGTCTAGGGTTTTGACACAGAGCTTTGCACAGCAGGCGCTCTGCGGGACGATGCCCAGAGACAGACCCTCACAGTTAGCGTGCCTGCGGGCTTCAGAATTTCGGGGAAGACTTCTCTAATCCCCTGGGCTGCTGTAAAGGCCCTTCTGATTTACAGTGTCCTAGAAACCTCTTTCCTTCAAAGCACTCACCTCTACTAGTTATTCTGCACTCGCTGGCATGCTTCTTTGTCGAGCACCAGTCTCCTCCAGCAGACTGAAAGCTGCAGGCAAAGACGGGATGGAGTCCGTTTTGCTAACCACTCAATGCCCAGAGCCAGCACAGGCCCTGGCACATGGTTGGCACTCAATGATTATTTACCGAATGAGTGAACAGAGATGGAGCATTTTAAGAAGGGGGGGGGTCCTTGGGGTCCGAGGAGAGAGCATCTTCCCATCTACTACAAACACAGCAAGACGGGAGGCTTGCAATGGGGTCTTCCAAAATGGGGTGATGATAGGCGCCCTCTTCAGCATCCTGTTGGATCAATAGGTTAAGCTGGGCTTCTCGACAGTCACAAAAAATCCCAGTGTTTCATTTCAGAAGGCCAACCCCATAGAGGTTTGTGTTTCACTCCCACAAAGGCCTGGATGAATCAGGTGACCGTCAAGGGCCGCTGTGCTCTTCGTGGTGACTCAATTCCATCTTGTGATGCCCTTCACGCGTGACCTCTGGGGCTTCTGCAGGGTCATGTACAAGTCCCTCGCGCTCCTCGCCCCCTGCTCAGAACCAGCCGGTTGGCCCTGGCAAACTGCATCGGGGCGGGAAATACAGGGTTACTCGAGGCTGTTCAGCGAGCACGAGTCTCGGTCGCGAATGTGGGAAGGGCGCTGACGTCACGGCTGGTTCTCCTGGGTCTGGCTTTAATGATAGGAGAGCCAAATGCATTTTGAATACTTGGAAAATGGAGATCCCTGCTCATTAGACTGCTTTTGAAAACCAGGTATTTATCAGAGGAAAAATAATCAATCATCCAAACCTTTGCGTAAGATACGAGGAACGGTGCTTCCGATCCACAGCTTCTGGCCCTGCAAGACCGTGGGGCCCCTCCATCCAAATGCCGCACCATTTTCCTGCACGGTTGAAATATGTCTTAATAGTTTTATTTTGATAAGGATGGATAGTCACCCATCAGAGGCCTAGCTCCTAATTCGAGGAGACCAGTGATTAAATAAACCGTGAAGATAAAAATTTTGGGCTGAGATAAGGTCATTACAACCTTTTAGTCTGAGTCTGGCACACAGTAGGATTCCTAGTTTCCACCCCCAAAACCCCCGACTTCACTGGAAAGTGCTTTGACGGACTTTAATTTTTTTTTTTTTTTTTAAGTGCTAGCTCAAAGTCACTGTGTCTAGGAGGGTAGTGGGGGGAGGAGGGAGACGGAGACAAAGTGTGGGCAAAACCACTGAATATTCATGAAAAGAGCCAGAATTTTGTAAGGACAGCCTGTATATGATGTGTGTTCTCACCAGGCTAGAAGACAAAAAGAACAAGGGCAGTGTGCCTCTGAATAGAGAAGCTGGGCTTTTTTTTTTTTTTTCCTGCTGAGAAGTTTCAGGATGACTCTAGTGCCTTTTATAAATTATTATTATTATTTTTTTTTTTTACTGTTTCCATCTCCCTGGGGTTGGAGAAAAGGGGAACTGCCCATGGGATTAAATCCTATGTGTGCTTGATATTATTTTGCCCTGCGTCTCTCAGCTGAAGAATTCCGTCCTGGGCTTCTATTTCTTTTTCTTTTTTTTTTAACTTTTTAAATGTTTTTATTTATTTCTGAGAGAGAGAGACAGCGTGAGCAGGGGAGAGTCAGAGAGAGAGGGAGACAGAATCTGAAACAGGCTCCAGGCTCTGAGCTGTCAGCACGGGTCCCGATGCAGGGCTCGAACCCACAAACAGTGAGATCATGACCTGAGCCGAAGTCGGACCCTTAACCGACTGAGCCACCCAGGCGACCCCTGGGCTTCTATTTCTGCACCGCCACCACCAGCACCACCACCTCTTCAGAGGTCCCCACCGCAAAGCAAACCTCACACACCCCACCTGGAGGTTCCAGGTTCTCAGACCTAAGGGCCAACTCACTTAAGGAAGTGGTTCACCACCCTGGCTGCATTCTAGAATCCTCCAGGGAGCTGAAAAAAGTACCCACACCTGGGCCGCACTCCCTGCGCTTCTGACCCCACTGGGCCAGGGTGGAGTCCTGGGCAGGGATAACTTTACAAAGCCCCTTAGAGGTTGTTACAGAGCCAGGACTGAGAACCAGCGGCTTAATCAAGCTTTCTGCCTCGGACTCCAGCAACGAAAATGAAATTTCGTCTGAGAAATGAAACAGAGAGAAAGCTTATAAGAAAACGACATAATTCAGAAGAAAGATATGGGGGTGGTGGATCCGCTTCCTGGACGTGCTCCCAGGGTCCTCCCTCCTGGCAGCGTGGATAACAAACATTCACAGCTGCAGCTCATTCGCAGGCCTGAAGAAAAGGGAGCTTGGGGGGAGCAGGGGAGGTGCCGGGCCGAGTGCCAGAAGGCGACCCTCCCCTAAGAAGTGGATTCACCTTCTTACTGTTCCACAGAGGCTGGGGCACTACTCCTGAGACAGCAGCTAACATTTGGATAGCGCTTCTCAAGTTCACGTGCATTGCGCTTTGATGCTCCCAACAAACCTATAAAAGGCAGGATTCTCCCCCTCCCCCCACTCCCGCGCCCCCACCCCGGCGCCACCGATTTTGCAAATGAGGAAACTGATGTCCAGATAAGTTAACTGGCTTGCCCAAAAGATTACAGCCACTGAAAGGTGGGGCTGGGACTTTAGTTCCAACATTTATTGAGCATTTACTATATACAAGGACTTAGGCAAGTATAAATTATAATATTATGGAATTCTATATTCCCTAATTACATCTTTGACACCATCTTCTATTTGTTCTTAGCATTTCTGTGGCAGAATCTTATTTACCCACTAACGTCCGTTCGTCCATCACATTTGGCTCGGGGCTGCTGTATGCTCCGGGGAGGCTTTCTCGTCCAGCTTCCCTCACGGCGAGGCGCGGTCACGTGACGCCATTCCGGCCAATGAGCTGTAAGAAGACGGCTACTACCTTCCCTAATGCGTTCTCTCTTCTCCTTGCCTTAGGCAATGTCCGGAAGCCTAGTAGCAACTGTGGGATCTGGAGATGACAAGTGTGCTGATAAAAGTGAAAATACCCAGGGGCGCCTGGGTAGTTCAGATGTTTAAGCAGCCGGCTTCACTCAGGTCATGACCTCACGGTTCGTGGGTTCGAGCCCCGCGTCGGGCTCTGTGCTGACAGCCTGGAGCCTGGAGCCTGCTTCGGATTCTGTGTCTCCCTCTCTCTCTGCCCCTCCCCTGCTCATGTGCATATTCCCTCTCTCTCTCTCTCTCAAAAGTAAATACACATTTAAAAAAATATTGGGAGAAAAAAGTGAAAATACCCTGAATGACAGAACAGAAAGATGCTTGAGTCCCTGATTCATCCCTGAACTGCTGTCTGCCCACGTCCAGGCTGATGAGGGAAAACAAGCCCCTATTTGTTTAAGTCACTATAGGTTAGGTTTCCAGAAGTTGTGGCCAAATGTATTTCTAAATGACACAGTCTCCTGCATGCCCTCCATCACTATGGCGGTTCTTTCCCTTTACCGTTGAGCACCCCACCCACCAGCTCCCCAGCAGCCAGCGTCTGACTGCAGCTGAAGCTTAGCCACTTGGGGCACATCGAATCAGTGTCTTAACTGTACTACCCTTGTGACCTGTGTCATTTTTGTCACCTGAATCAGCACTTTTTGCTTTCCGAGGTTCCATTTGTTTTTACAAGGTAAGAGTGAATATAGGAACATAAACAACTGTGTAGATGATCTGCACAAAGATGGCGACACTGGCCCAACTCACCCCCTGAAGGGGAGGCCAATCTAATGAGGGAAACCTGGATTACTGCGGGCAAGGTGGTTTGGGGTGTCAGTCACGCGCTTGTACCAAACTCTGGCCGTTTGAAAGTCAAATGTACAGAAGTCAAGGACTGCCTGTATGCACTCCAGTGGCAGCTCGGTACGGCAGATTGTGGTTTTTTTTTTTAATTTACTTATTTTGAGAGGGACAGAGACAGCGCAAGATGGGGAGGGGCAGAGAGAGAGGAGAGACAGAGAGTCCCAAGCAGGCTCCGCACCATCAGCACAGAGCCCTACAAGGGGCTCAAACCCATGAAACCATGAGATCATGACCTGAGCCGAAGCCAAGAGTCAGACGCTCAACCAACTGAGCCACCCAGGCATCCCTGCCAGATTGTGTTTTAAGCTTCCAAATCAGTTAGCTATTGCTGAGCTACAAACAGCCCCTAGCTCAGGGGCTTAAAACAACGTCTATTATTTCTCAGAGGCTAAGAGCCAGCTGAGTGCTTCCGCTAATCCGGGCCAATCTGTGAATGGTCTTGGCTGGGCTCGCTCAAGTGTTTCAGTCAGTTCTTGGTCACCTCAGTCTGGGACGGCCTCATTCACATGTGTCATAGGCAACTGGCTGTCAGCTTCAGTGACAGGGTTGATTGGGCCACAGGACGCCTCCTCCTCCAGGAGGCTCTTCACACGGTGGCCTCGGGTTTCCAAGAGAACAACCAGAGGCAGAGGAGGCCTCTTGAGTCCCAGGCCAGGAACTAGCGTAGCATCCATTCTGCCACATGCTATTGACGGAAGAAGGTCACAAAGTCCTTCCGGTTTTAGAGTAAGTAAAAAGGTTTCCCTTCTTGATGAGAGAGGCTGCAGAGGCATTGGCATAGGAAAAGAAAGGACAGAGGCCATTTTTGTCATCAGGTCACCATAGTACCCACGGTGAGAACTTTCCTTTGAGTGGATCGCCATGACGTCAAAGAAAAAGATGAACCAAATCGGAGTAGGTAGAGAGATGGTTGCGTGGACAAAAGGGAAACACTCCCTGTAGTAGAGAAAGAGTAAGCGGCAAAGGAAACAGAGGAAGAGAATGGAGATACAGACTAAATCAAAATTCCATTCCAATAATTACTTCTAAGCTCACTGCCCCTTCCCGGGTGCTTAATATGTTAAACACAATCTCACTGAATCTTCAATTACTCCTGTGAGGGAACTTCTATTATTAATCCCATTTTATAGATGAGGGAATCAAGGTTCAGAGAGGATTAGGCAATTTGCAGAGAGACACACAGGATGAGAAACGCAGGACACAAGACTTGAAGACAGATCTCTTGGTGTCAAAGCACTGGCCCTAATCAGGACACTGTTCTGGCTTTAGGCCAACTTGTTTCTCTGTCCCCACCTCGGGCCCCCTGCCCGGGCCTTGCCTGCCACAGGATCTGAGGACTTCCAGTCTGATTACTTCCAGCTGATTTTTTCTGTAAAGGGCCACTGAGTCAGTCTTATCAGGGCTGTGTTGTATTTATTCAGTTCTGCCAGTGTAGACAGTATATACATGAATGGGCATGGCTGCATTCCCATAAAACTTTACTTGCAAAAATAAAGTGGCCAACCCCTGCCTAATCCATTCTCCACCTTGCAGCCATAGTGGGCCAAACTCAAACGTGACCCTGGCCATTCCTTGCCTGACAGGTTTCATCAGTATCTCCAGGATCAGTCCAAACCTCTATCAATCTTGTGATCAAAGTGTGGCCCCTGGGCCAGCGGCATCACCATCACGTGGGAGCCTGTTGGGAAAGCAGAATCTCAGGTCCCACCCTGGGCCCGCTGAGTTAGAATTTGCATCTAACCAGCCTCTCTGGTGATGTGCACAGTCCAGTTTGGGAAGCCCTGTCTTCAGGACCGCTGTCTCCCGGTGCCTTCCTATCCCCCCGCCCCCATCCTTTGCTACTGGAGCCTCCTCCCCGCCCCACCCCCACTTTCCAGCCAAACTGAAATGCTCCATTCATCTGTTCTTGATACATTCCTCTCCTGCCCAATTCCCTCCACTTAGCGAATTCCTGCCTACCTCTAGATCTCACCTTAGACATCACTTCTTCCCAGCAGCTCTCCCTGAACCTCCTGAACTGCACGATGTGCCTGTCTTCCGTGTTTCCATAGCCCTTTCTCACCGCCTCCCACCACGACTGAATTGGCCTACCTCTCACAATTAGTGTGCGAGTTCCATAGGGAGACACCCCGTCTGCCTTGGTTATTTCTACACGTGTCCTCAACCCTGGGGACAGTATAGACTCAATAACTGCTTGTTGAAAACTGAATGAAACACACCCACCGCCTCTGCCCTGGGCAAGTATCCTACACAACTACTGTTTAATCAGTCTGTGGCTGCAGGTTTCTCTAAACTTTCACTTGGCTCCCAGGCTTTGTGGAGTCTTAAGTCGTCTCCAGAATCCCATCTTTCACTAAGCCCAGTGGTTTTTCATTATTTGCAAATGTTTACCACTTGGAGAGGACCCAGGGGGGCCTACGAGATTGCTGAGCAAAATTCTTGAGCAACAAATTAGCCACAGGCCAAGACTTGCCTTGTGTTAGGGAGTTTGTGGGGGAGCCAGGCGGAAGGTCTAGGCAGGGAAGAAGACTTGAAGGCAGGACCCCAGGCTGCACACCTTCAGAGCCATGAACTAACATTTTTTCCCACCTGTGTATGGTGCCAGTTCTAGACAAACAATTATTCTAGCTTTGCTGAGTGGGAAAAGACTCCCATACACCCAGATGTGGAAATCAAGTGAGCTTGTGTGTAAGGAATCGTTAGCGAGTGTATCTGCGGCTGCCCTTCAGGAAGAGAGCCCTCCCCCAGATCAGACATTCAGTCCAAGGTTTTCTACAAGTTCGTTTATTAACAAAGCAAAATATAAAAGAACAAGGCCCCCCAAATGACCCAAAAGATCAAAAGTGCAAATTTACTTCAACCTGAAATAGAAAACAAATGGCTGGCCTCAACTGTTTGGCCATGGAAATTTGGTGTGATTGAAAACTCCTTTTAATCACACAACTGTAGCAGCGGAACCATATTTGATTAACCCTTTGGTCTCTGTTATTGGAACAAACCATACACTATGACTGGAGCCCATGGGCTACATCATAATATACAGCTGGGGGTCAGAATACACATTTAAAATAACAATAAAATAAGAGGAATGTTTTAAAGTCAAGTCACTGAATCAAGGCACATTTTTTTAAGCAAAAGGTGCTAAAAATATTCCTGAATATCTCTGATACTACAAAAGCCAGATTATATATAATTTTTTTAGTCTATTCTCTCTGTATAGTGATTGCATATTATCTTCACCCTCTCCCAACTTATACTTGCTAAATTCCCACCAAATCATGTGCTATGTAGGTATAAATGGAAACAAACAGTAGTGTCTAAGTGACAGATGTACGATTAAAAAAAAATTAACGAACACCAAGAATGATAACACTGAACTTTTCTCCCCCTCTCAAGGGTCACTGGAAGTGTTAATGAGATTTGTTTTCCCCACTACGGGGGAAGGAGGTAATAGCCTTCCTCCCCATGGGTAGGGATAAGTTAAGTCTTCTTCACCAAGGTCAAAAGCCACATTTTACAGAAATAGTGATTTACTCTACGAGGTTAAAAGAGATGCTTTGGAAGCAGGTCAGGTTAATTCCTTCCAAATGCTAGGATGTCAGTTTTGGTGGGAGCTGCTGGGTCAGAAAGGGGTGGACACATCTGATCAGAACTGTATTCTTTGGCAGTGGCAGCTTGAAAACCCAGCACTGGGTTTCTGGTGTCCCCTGCCACCAACCATCCCTGCTAAGGCACCGTCTGGGGCCCTACTAAAAAAAAAAAAATCACTTAAAAATAAGAACAAAATTACAAATAAAAAAACAAGTTCTTCTGCAATCCTTCCTGATTACTCATCTGTGAACTCCGACTGAGCCAAGGAGGTTAGTCCCGACTCACCAGGAAGGAAATGCCAAGAACTGGCCTCCAGCGGTCTGATTGGAGGATATGACTGGGAATGAACAGCTCCAGGATGGAGGGTCCTTCTGAGAATTGGGAGTTCAGTGTCATCTGTGGCCATGTTAATTTTTTTTGAGGGGGGAGGAGGGGGTTGTTTCTACAATAAAGCTTAGCTCTGAGAGATAAAGAGGGACTTGAAGTATCACAACCCCAACTATGTATAACAACATTATCTCCATAACAATAAATATCACCTTATACATACTGTGTAAGGCAGGGGTCGCAAACTGGTGGCCCCCAGGCTCCAGCAAATGTTCAGTTCGGCCCACGTGGTATTTGGAACGTTTTTAAATTATTTTGTTTAAAAATGAGAACGTTTCACTTTAAAAAAAAAAACAAAAACCTCCTGATTTCCGGCCTCTCCCTACCCTTTCCCCAGCACAGAGCTGAACGTTGGCTGCCCTGCTGGCTGCCCTGCGTAAGACTCCCCACCACCCACCCCTTCCCATAGCCCTCTCCCTGCCTTGCTCCTGCAGGCTGCTGAGTTTGCGACCCCTGGTTTGAAATAGCACATACCTAAAATACGTTTCCTACCCAAACCTCTTGCACCCCCATGTGATTTCCACCCTGTCTGCCCTTCTCCCCTTCTCTTCCTTCACTTCTCTCTCAAGGCCTCCTTCCTGAATTCTTCAGATTTCTCCCTCACTTCCAAGCTTCCATTCTCCCTTCTTCCAGCTGCCGTTTCTTTTTTGCAAAAATCATCTCCTTCTCTCAGCCCATGAGCCTCTTCCAGGACGGCTCCCAAGACTGGTTGGTGAGAGTTACCGAAGGGTGTCTTTGGGCAAAACGGCTGCGTCATCTTCCCTAAAACTTTTTCTTTGGGCACTGGCTGGTCGATTCATCTTTTTTTAACGTGAGCAATTGTGAGGCTTCCTGTGTGAGAATATTTGCATATATGAATCTCTAGTACCAAGTATACACCAAAAATGTGTATGTACATTTCAGACCAAGGACATGACGGAGCCCTGATAAAATACAGAATTGAGCTTAATTTAAGTGCCTCGGGCAACCATCATACCTGGCTAATGTGCCGTATTATTCCATTTGTACACAGTACATGTTTGGGATCTAAACATTGATCAAAATTGATCGAAATCTCTAACTTTTGGTTACCATGTGCAGAGAACAACTGCTCAGCATGGCGCTTAAATAAAACATTAATATTTTAAAAATTCACAAACACAATGCCCCATTAATTAAAAAATAATAATAAAATTTAAAATCTTGAGGATGGATGAGGCTTTGGGTAATTAACCTGAAGGCAAAAAAAAAAAAATAACAAAAACACTACAAGAACAGCATGTTACCAGATTTACACTTCAAAAGACTAGTATGATTAAAAAATAATAATAATAAACCTATCAACTCAGCTAGGAACATCTGGAAAATTCCATCTTTAAAGCTTTATAATCCCTCCAATAGCCTTGCTGTTCCCCACTTCAGTAGACTTAATGACTTCAGGGGGAACTGAGGCCAATATGGAAACATTATAAATATATATATTTATATATATAGATCTACGTACTCTTGGCACCTATTTTAAAAAGTAAGTTTAAGAAACACTGTGCAGTTTATATCTTCGCAGGAAGTTGGTAGACTGATCCCTTTACTACATGCAGTACCTTATGACCTAACACTGACCTCAAAAGCTGGGAATGACCTTTGTGACATCAAGAGGAATTGTCCCCAGAGCAACCTCCAAGAGAAGGGACAACATTTCCAACTATTTCTCTTACAGTCCAAGGTGGCAAAGGACAGAAGTGTCTGCAGCTCCCGTGAGGACACCCTGCCACCCATTTACTCACAATGACTTCTGCAGTGACCAAGAATTCCCCTCAAGAAAGTTTAAAGAGGGGAGCCTGGGTGGCTTAGTCGGTTAAGCGTCCGACTTTCGCTTAGGTCATGACTTTCGCTTAGGTCATGATCTCGCGGTTCGTGGGTTCGAGCCCCGCATCGGGCTCTGTGCTGACTGCCAGCTCAGAGCCTGGAGCCTGTTTCAGTCTGTGACTCCCTCTCTCTCTGACCCTCCCCTGCTCACACTGTCTCTCTCTCTCCTAGAAATAAATAAAACATTAAAAAAAAATTAAAAAAAAAAAGTTTAAAGAATTCCCTCAGAACAACTCAGAAGTTGAACAATGGCCGTATTCAGATGGTGCCTTCTGTCTTCTAGGTTTTATCTTTAAGAACCTAAGTTAGTACGTGTCTTAGTCCAAAAAAAAAAAGTCCCCAAGTCTAACACTGGGTGGGACAGGTTACATTTTCTATTAGGCAAGCAGATGGTGGACTTACTGACACCTAAGCTAAGTTGGGGATATTTACGTGCAAAGAGAGAAAACAACAGACTCCTGACAAGGGCTCCCCCTGCCATATTCTCCTCAGCTGACCAGTCGGAGAGCCCAGAACCCAAGATATTCGATTCTTTGGGAAAAGCTTTGCAAGACCTGAGCTGAATCAACTACTTCTCAAGGTGGCCTTGGGACCACGTACTTAAAGGTGCCGGGGCGTTGGGAGAGAAACTTTATAACCACGAACCATCGCTGAGCACTGACTGAGAGGGCTGACTACATCCTAGGCACCACAGCCAGCATTGCCTCTGCATTATCTCATTACACTCAGAAACAAATCACCATGCTGAGGAGTTTGTTTAAAAGCCTTAAAACAAAAAAAATATTCCTGTCTCCAGCCAGCAGCAAGCTGTCACCTTCATAGGCGAAAATCGAACTATATCTTCCCCAAAACCCAACACGTTCTCACCAATGTTGTCCTAACCATGGATTCTTTGCTACTCTGCCCTGTGCCTGGCTCACGGTAGGCTCCCCAGGAATGGGTGCTGGCTGGTACCAGCGTATGCCTGCGGGGGTGTTAAGCAGGCCTGCTTTTTAAGATTGTACATTTCTTAATAATAAATGGAACTGGTCTCCCTTTCAGATGCAACAGCTTGGCACTGGCAATTACCACAAAATGAAAGGACTGATCAAAACAGAGTGCTCTTTGCTCTGGAAGTTTCTCTCACCAATTCTTGATGACCTCTCAACACGTGACTTCATTCTTTGCAATTCTGTCAAACACCATGATTGCACCATTTAAAGAATACATGAATATTAATTTGGACAGTGGAAACTGTGGTCCTCAGAACATTAGACCCTAGAACAGAACTTCGATTCCAGTTGTAAAGATACAGATTTTTAGGAAGACCATGGGAACCCAGGACCTAGCAAGTAGTTATATCAAAAAACATTAGCTTCTTTAAATCTGGGGGCCAGAGATCTGAGTCTCAAAAACTGACACGGGAACTTTCTCTGCATCTAGTTCTTGCTTCCTTTCTTTACTGGACTTCCCTAAAAGCTGGATCCTTTTACAGAATCATTTCACACAAACCAACATTTGGACCAACTCTTAGCTGCTGGGGTTGGATGCCTTTCTGTAGCTTGCTCCAGACACGCTGGTGGGTGTGAAAAAGATGCTGTAACTATACTGGCTTCGGAGCCAGGGGGTGACATTTAAGCCCCCAAATGTCACCTTCTGAATTTTCCAACACCTTTGGCAGTTCATTTCCTTGCATTAAACTGGCTTCATTGCCATCCCCACCCCCATTAGGTGGGAGAGGCTTTAGGAGCTTTGGGCCAGGTGGAGGCACTGTCAAGGTTTATGGTTCATCTCCAGGGAAGCCCTGGGTGCGCTGACTCCGGGGTGGGGGGCACCTGGCAAGGTAGCGAGGACCCCCATAGACCCGGAGAAGCTGGGGCAGCCTTCGCCATGTGGACAACAACCTGGCAGCCGCGAGTTCCCGGGCGTGCTTGTCGAATGCAGCCAGGAGGTCAACTGGGGCGGCCTCTCGCAGAACCTTGGGCAGTGGGCCCACCTCGGCAGCGGCGCCACCAGGGCCCAGGACACAGTGGAAGAGGGTATGGCGTCGCAGCAGGCAGTCCCTAAGGAACTGCACTAATTCCTCCAACCGTTCACCCACGTGCGCCTCGTCCCAGCCTTGAGCCGGAGCCTCCTCACGCAGCAGCACCGCCAGCAGCACTGTCTTGAGCATGTACGAAGACAGGATGCGTCCCCACTGGGTGGCCGCCGTCGGGTCCAGCCCGCGGGCGCCCAGGTCCCGCAGAGCTTTAAGCAACTGCAGGCACTTGAGGTAGCAGGCACCTGGAGGGGCCCGTTCCTGCAGCCAGCTCAGCAGCTTCTGCTCCTGGCGCGCTGTGTTCACCCCCCACAGTGCATCCGTGCGCAGGCCTCCCGGGAGCACCGACAGGGGCCCGACAGGTGAGGGTGGCGGTGGCGGTGCGACGAGGAAAACGCCATCGCCCAAATGCACAGCTGGGATGAGACGTACAGCCATGGAGAGGCGGCAGCAGCCGTAATCCGTGCGGCACGGCAGGATGTGCAGGGTAGGGGGCTGCTCCAGGCCGCCGTGGGTCAGGCTGACCCGACAGCGCCCCTCCAGGCTGTAGCGCACGGTGGCCAGGGAACGCTGCAGGTGCGACTGGAACCAGCGAAGCACCATAGTGGCGGAGAGGTGACGCCGCCCGAGCACGTCCACGCAGAAGCCGTCGGCGAAGGGCTTGCAGTCCCGGAGCCAGTGGCCCCCGGAGGCCCCCGGCGGCGCCTTGAGCGCGCACACGAAACAGCCGTGGAAGGCTGGGGCGAGCGCGGGCTCGGCGCCCAGGCTCCGCGGCTCCAGCGCCACCAGCGGCGGGAGGCGCAGCGGTACCAACACGTCGAAGCCGTCGGGCCGCCGGATTTTATGCTGCTCGTAGGCGCTGCCCACCTGGATGAAGTCTCCGCGGAAGGCCAACGCCAGCGCCCCGCCGGGGATGGGGCCGGGGGACCCCCGGGCGCGGCCAGCCCGCACCAGCTCGCCCACGATCCGGCTCACGTGCGCCTTGCTGTGGCCCAGCACGTGCGGGGAGAGGCGCACCTCGTGCTCGTAGTAACTCTCCAGCAAGATGCCAAGGCTGGGCTCTCGGAAGTGTCTAGGAGAAAAGGTGGAGTGTCTCCCCAGGCGGGGAGACCCTGGCAGGAAGCGCTGCCGGACAGCGTGGCGACAGCGCAGGAGGATGTAGCCAAGGAGGAGCAGGACGACCACCTTGAGCAGCGGGAAGCCGCCGTCCGCACCGTCGGGGGACTCAGCCCGGTCGCCCCCGCTTCCTCGGAGGACATGATAGAGGCACACAAGGGCAGTGCACAGGCCGGTCACCAGGGGCCAGAAGACGCGCAGATTGAGGGTGTAGTGCACCGACATAGCGGGCGCGCGGGGCAGCGGCGGCCTGGCAGCCCAGGGCACGAGCCCCGGCGGCGCCCCCGGCCCAGCATGCGGGCAGCGCCCCGGCGGCCCCGCGGCCCCGGTCGCCTTCGCCTCCGCGGCGGCTCCCCCCTCGCAGGGCCCGGGGAAGGCGCCCTCCAGCTCGGCCTCCTCTCCCAGCTCAAGTTTTCCTTCCAGCTGCGGCCCGCCCTGCACTCCCGGGCTCCGGGCCGCGCCCTGCGCCGGCGGCGAGCGCCGTCCCGCCCGGCGGCCCTCCCCGCCCGGCGCCCCGGCGCGCCGCCCGCGGCCAGCTTCCGACCCGGCCCGGCTCGCCTCCTACCCTGGGCGGCGCTCCCGGGGTCCCCCTCCGCGCTCGGGCCCGCTCTCCGCCGCTCTTGTTCCCGTTACTCGGCCCCTGGAGTTTCCTCTTCCGAGGGGAGGCGAGCCCGCGCCCGCTAGCGGGGAGGAAATGCCGAAGTCTGGAGCCGAGCGCGCAGCGGGCGGGTGGCGTGGCCCCCTCCCCGGCCTCCGCCTTAGAGCGACGCGGGGCGGCGGGAGGGACTTCAGGAGGCGCTCCTAACTGGCTTCCCGCGGGCCATCGCCCCCCCCCCCGCTCCCCCTCCCCGAAGGCAGAACTGGGAAGGCCCTGATTCCGGGGCGGTGGCCTTGTCCTGGGAGCCTTTGGAGTGTGCTCACATGAAGTTACACTGGGAAGTTGCAAAGGAGGAGAAAAGGACTCACACCCAGGGTGTGCCTCCCCACCCCCATCCAAGCCAGTCGTGGCGCTGGCGGCGTGGCATCCTCGGGCACGGAAGCGGCCGCTGCCAGTGTGCTGCCGTCCCTTATTCAAACCCATATTTACTGAGTACCTACTACGTCCCTTATTCAAACCCATATTTACTGAGTACCTACTACGTCCCTTATTCAAACCCATATTTACTGAGTACCTACTACGTGCCAGGCGGTAGGCTAGGAGCTGGGGCGAAAGCAAGCCACAAGATTAGGCAAGGTCTCTGCCCTTCGTAAAGCTTACGGCCTTTCTGAAAAAAGGAAACCAAAAGAGAAAGGATCCCATGGCAGAAAATTGTCTGAAAGAAATAACGCTGCGCCAAGATATGACAAGGTGGTGGCTGCCCTCTGGAAGATGGAGGGCTGACGTTTGGTCTGAGATGGGAACAAGGAGGAGCCAGCCTTGGAAATCACAATAGCAGCTTTCACCGAAAACTCACTGCGGGCCAGTACTGTGCTAATCCCTTTACACATACTCCCTCCTCGTGTCAATCCTATGAAACGTACACTATGATTTTCCCCATTTTTCAGATGAGGAAACTGACACATAGGCAGGGTCAGCCCCTCGCCCAGGGTCACACAGCTTTAGCAGAGCTGTGCCTTGAATATAGGTATCCCTCTCCAGAGAAGCCAGGGGGCAGAACTCGGGGAGGGTGACCAAGGAGCCCGTTCTTCAGCTACTGGGAATTGTCTGTGTTCTGTGTCAGGACCAATCCTGGGGCCTCGGTCCCTGGGAACCTTTGCTTTGTTTCATAACAGGGAGTACTGCCTGAGATCATCGGCATTTCTTTAACTAAACTGGATTTGTTTAAATCATGATCTTTATTTACTTATGTTCATTGCACTCCCTGCTCCCAACACCATTTAAGGGGAGCAAAGGTGAATGCACTAAAAGTGTCACAACTCAGCTGCCATCTGGGACCCAGCCCGCAGAGGATGGCTCCCGAGTTAGGCACCAAGATGATTCTCGGGAAATCCTGGATTGCGCCTCTTGAGCTGAGGAGACCTGCTTTAAGATCCCGTCTCCACTACTCCTAGCTGCTGGGTCATTGTCTATTAGTCTGGGCTCTTTGGGTTGCAAGGGACAGAAACAGGCTTAAAAAATAGCTGATTGTCATGTTAAGTGAGACACCCAGGAGATCCGCTTCAGTACAGTTCGATCCAGACACCCTCCATCCAACCCCTTCTGACTCTGCTGTTTTCTAAGCTGGGGCACTGTCGGCCAGGCCTTCTCCATATCCCCCCCCGCTGCTCTGCACTCACGTTATCCTCCATCAAACTCGTCAGGGAGGAAAAGAGAGCTGTGCTCGCCTGAAAACTGTAGCAAATGCCAGGCCTAGAGATAGTCTTGAGATTATGCTAAAAGTGACCAAGTTTTAAGAGCGCCTGGCTGGCTCGTTTGGTAGAGCATGTAACTCTTGATCTTAGAATCATGAGTTCTACCCTTGAGAGCAGAGTTTACGTTTTAAAAAATTATTTATAATTTATTTTTATTTTTAAAAATTGCTAATGCTTATTTATTTTTGAGAGAGAGAAAAGGAGAGAGCACCAGTGCACACATGCAGAGGCGAGGCAGAGGTTCCGAAGGGTCCCACACTGACAGCACAGAGCCCAATATGGGGCTCGATCTCATGAACTGCCAGATCATGACCTGAGCTGAAGTCCGACAATTAACCAACTGAACCACCCAGGTGCCCCTTATTTATTTATTTATTTATTTATTTATTTATTTATTTCTGAGAGAGAGAGAGGCAGCATGAGCAGGGGAGGGTCAGAGAGAGAGGGAGACACAGAATCCGAAGACAGGCTCCAGGCTCTGAGCTGGCTGTCAGCACAGAGCCTGACACGGGGCTTGAACCCACGAACCGTGAGCTCATGACCTGAGCCGAAGCCGGATGCTCAACCGACTGAGCCACCCAGGTGCCCAACCCCCTATTTATTTTTATTTTTATTTTTTTTTTAAAGAGATATATTTTTTTAATGGGTTTGTTTTTTTTTTATTTCTAGGAGAGAAAGAGAGACAGCGTGAGCAGGGGAGGGTCAGAGAGAGAAGGAGTCACAGACTGAAACAGGCTCTAGGCTCTGAGCTGGCAGTCAGCACAGAGCCCAACGCGGGGCCCGAACCCACGAACTGCGAGATCATGACCTAAGCAAAAGTCGGACGCTTAACCGACTAAGCCACCCAGGCGCCCCCCCCATTTATTTTTAAATGTTTATTTATTTTGAGAGAGAGAGAAAGAGAGTGCAGGGGAGGGGCAGAGAGAGAGGGAGACAGAGAATCCCAAACAGGTTCCACACAGTTAGCTCAGAGCCAGACTGGGGGCTTGAACTCCCAAACCATGAGATCATGACCTGAGTTGAAATCAAGAGTCGGACGCTTGACTGACTGAGCCACCCAGGCACACCCCACACACATACAAAAAAAATTTTTTTAAATAAATAAAAGTGACTAAGTTAGAGGATACACTGATAAACATGGCCTGGGCTGGTTCTATAGACTAAGTTGTGTGCCCTGAAAATTCTTATACTGAAGGCCTAACCCCTAATGTGAGTGTATTTGGAAATAGCTCTTCAGTGGTAATTAAGATGAAATGAGGTTATAAGGATGGGCCCTAATCCAGCAGGACTGGTGTCATGCTAAGACAGGGGCCTTTCTCCACTCACACACACACCAAAGAATGGCCTTGTGAGGAAGCGTGAGAAGGTGACCATCTATAGGCCAGGAGGAGAGCTTGCACCAGAAACTGGACCCTCTGCACCTTGATCTTGGACTCTCCAGCCTCCAGAACTATGGGAAAATGCTTTCTGTTGCTGAGCCATCCAGTCTCTGGTACATGCGGCCCCCGCTGACTAATACAGTTGGAGGTGGGGTGAGCCCTGCCTAAGCCACGGGGACTGGAGGAGGGGCACCACTCAAGGAAAGTTCCAGCACTGCTTGGGGGAGGCTTGGGCATGCAGAGACAGCAAAGTGACCCCCGTTTGGGGATAAATCTTTTCATCTCACTTTGCTTCAATCTCCCCTCTCATCTATGAAATGGGGGGAATATTAACAGAGGGACAATTTTGGGGCACTGGGTGGCTCAGTTCGCTAAGTGTCTGACTTCAGCTCAGGTCATGATCTCATGGTTCACGCTTTTGAGCCCCTCATCGGGCTCTGTGCTGACAGCTCAGAGCCTGGAGCCTGCTTCGGATTCTGTGTCTCCCTCTCTCTCTACCCCTCCCCCACTGTTAGTACTATGTTAGTCTGTCTCTCTCTCTCTCTCTCTCTCTCTAAAATAAACATTAAAATTTTTTTTAAAAAAAACGACAGAATGACATTTTCTTCCTAGTGGAAATGGTGGCTTGCTGCCTTCAGCCAGACAGAGAGGGGCAACTCTAGCTCGCAGGTCAGCAGACATTTTTTGTAAAAGGCCAGAGAATAAATATTTTAGCCCATACAATCTTTGTGCTGACTACTCGGGTCTCCCGCTGTATTCATTTCCTGGGGCTGCAATAACAAAGAACCACAAACTGAGGGGCTTACAAAAGAATTTATTCTCTCAAAGTTCTCGAAGGCACCAGGGCTGTGCTCCCTCTCAAGGCCTTCGGGGACAGGGACGATCCTTCCTTGTCTTGTCCAGCTGCTGGTAGCCCCAGGCCTTCCTTGGCTTGTGGCGGCGACCCTTTGATCTCTGCCTCTCTCCTCACGTAGGCTTCTCCTCTGTGTCTGCATCTTTTTCTGTCTCTTGTAAAGTCGCTTGTCATTGCATGTAAGGCCCACCTGGGAACGCCAGTGATCTCATCTGGAGATCCTTCAATTAGTGACATCTGCAAACATTCTTTTTCCCAGTAAGGTCACATTCACAGGTCCAAGGGGCAGGATGCGGGCATATCTTTTTTGGGAGGTGTATGGGAAGAACCTCAGTTTTCTTTCCTCCGTGTCTCATTTACTACTCACAACACCCCCCCCACTTCTGACGCTTCCGGCCGTCAAACGTGGAGAAGTTTTTCCCCACAACAAGACATTCTCTGCCATGCCAGCCGGCTGTCCTACAATTTAACTAAATTCTGACACTACCCACGAGACTACCCTCACCCCCACTTCAGATGCCAGTCGCAACTAGTAGGTCCCCACGTGATCCACTACTTCCGTTCAACTTGGCTGTAAATTGGAGGTTCCCATAACCCCCTCCTTGGGTTTGACTAATTTGCTAGAACAGCTCACAGAACTCAGGCAAGCATGTTTACCAGTTTATTAAAGG